CAAAGAAATGTAGAGCAAATACTGACTAAATGCTGCAACACACTTTTAGGCTCCGGAGGGCCCAAGAGTGCAGCGTTTAGACTAATACAAATGCAAACATCTTCTCGCTCGGTTGCTACGTACCCCTCGCATCAAATCCTTCAAAATGTACAAGTAAATATTGTAGAAATGTGTTTTTCTTTGGTATCACCGTGATACTAACGAAATACAGATTTGTCGTCCGTCCCCCCCCCCCCCCCCCCGTTCACGTTCATGTGAGGATACGTTGGCTGATTGGACGCTGCCACAAAGGCTAAGGAAATATAACATAGTCTTTAGAGGGTGTTGATATTTCATTTTGGAACAGTGTATTATGTAATTTCAGTAAACAAATAAACATGCATTAATCATACAACTAATTTGATTCAAGATTGTTTGTAAACAGTTTAAAATTGACATATTATTTATGATTGTTTAATTCTGATTAAATTTCAGGTTGAATCGCCTTTTGCTCTTTATCGATGTGCTGTCAGTCTGATTGGTTAGTTATACGCTACACATATACTTATCAAGTTATACAAAATGAATGTGAACATACAATGTTCATACTTTCTGTAACAATATCTGTAATACCTTTGGTTATCTATTTGTTGGAAATGAAATGAATGCGAATGGAATTGAATTGAATTGAAACCTTTCGTTGTATACAATTGGAAAGAGCTTCTTACAACCACTCCCGTGGACTTTACAACATTTCTTGCTGCCTGCTGCCTCGAGATCACTGGATCGAAGAAGGTAACAATGCATAGCAAGAATCCCTAATCATAAAAGGATAAGTCCTTTTTATGCAGATGATTCATCTGCCATTCTTGACCAGAAGTGAGTTTCGAACTTGATTTGGGCACCATGCCATTGAAGCCATTGAATGCTGTGTACAGCATTAGGGACTTTTAGATTTGCACGTCGACAGCTTTGACTGCAACGTGTGACGTCATTTTTAAGGCACTGCGCATGCGTTACGTCGTCTCAGTCGGCGATCGAGAATGCGTCAACCTTAATTTTCCTAAATCTAGTACATACATACATATTGGTATTTATATAGCGCCTTTACATGCTCAAGGTACTAGTATGCCGCGTGCGCATAAAATATACAGTTCCTCAGGTAGACAAAGGAACATCCCTTCCCTGCTATTATGTAAAAATGTGTAGAACAGGTGTCACATGCATATTCACCTGTTCTACACATTTTTACATAAGAGCAGTGATGGGATGTTCTTTTGTTGACGGTAGAATGAGGAACTGTATATTTTGTCCTCTTTCTTTGTCCGTAATATTCATAGTGTTACTTCCTGCATGCATGTATATCGTCGAGTGCAATTTAAAAGATTTCTAATTGTAGTCAACATGGGCAGTTAAGTATGGCAGCTTAAAAGTGCCACTCAGATGTCGAGATAATTCAACTCATCATGTCGACATACTGTACAAAAGATGATCAGATGTCAAGATCTAGGATCTCATGTCGACATCCTTCAAAACAGATAATCGGATGACAAGATCTAGGATCTCATCATGTCAACATCCTTTAGAAAAGATGATCATATGACAAGGTCTAGGATCTCATCATGTCAACATCCTTAAAAACGGATAATCAGATGACAAGATCTAGGATCTCATCATGTCAACATCCTTCAAAACAGATGATCTGATGACAAGATCTATGATCTCATCATGTCGACATCTTTTAGAAAAGATGATCAGATGACAAGGTCTAGGATCTCATCATGTCGACATCCTTTTAGAACAGATGATCAGATGACAAGATCTAGGATCTCATCATGTCGACATCCTTTAGAAGAGATGATCAGATGACAAGATCCCGGATCTCATCATGTCGACATCCTTCAGAATAGATGGTCAGATGACAAGATCCCGGATCTCATCATGTCGATATCCTTTAGAACAGATGATCAGATGACAAGATCCAAGATCACATCATGTCGACATCCGTCAGGACAGATGACCAGATGACAAGATCCAAGATCACATCATGTCGAGATCTGATGTTTGAAAACGATCATGCGCGCACGTCGTGCACGTGCGCATGCATGCAATAATGCACTAGCTCTAGCGCATGGCACTGAACTGTGCATGCCAGGGCCAGACTGAGCTATAACTAGCCTTGGATTAGGTAACTAGCATTTTGTCATCTGATCATCTCTTCTAAAAGATGTCGACATGATGAGATCCTAGATCTTGTCATCTGATTATCTGTTTTGAAGGATGTTGACATGATGAGATCCTAGATCTTGTCATCTGATTACCTGTTCTAAAGGATGTCGGCATGATGAGATCCTAGATCTTGTCATCTGATCATCTTTTCTAAAGGATGTCGACATGATGAGATCCTAGATCTTGTCATCTGATCATCTGTTCTAAAAGGATGTTGACATGGTGAGATCCGGGATCTCGTCATCTTATTATCTCTTCTAAAGGATATTGACATGGTGAGAGCCGGGATCTTGTCATCTGATCATCTCTTCTAAAGGATGTCGACATGGTGAGAGCCGGGATCTCGTCATCTGATCATCTCTTCTAAAGGATGTCGACATGATGAGATCCTAGATCTAGTCATCTGATCATCTGTTCTAAAAAAATGTCGACATGATGAGATCCTAGATCTTGTCATCTCATCATCTGTTCTAAAAGATGTCGACATGATAAGATCTTGGATCTTGTCATATGATCATCTGAATGGCACTTTTAAGCTTCCATAGTTAAGTACGTTGACACGCATGATCAGTCGGCGTTCGTCGTGTTCTCGTCCACTCAATCTAAAAGTCCCTATTAATGGCGTGTTTTGCTCCTTGCTGCCTGATATGAGGGCGTTTTTGTACGCGTTAAAAAGAGCCTACAATAGAGGCAGTGCGATTTAAATATCAAGTGATGGATTAGAGTTAATTTCTGAAATAAAATGAAAGGGCTATTTGACTTCCAAGTACGATAAAATCTCTAATCCATCCCTCGAAATTTAAAATTGCACGGCCCCTATTGTGTGCTCCTTTCAAAGAGCACAAGAAGCCCTCAGATTGAACATTTATTCTCATAAAATTGTCTTTAAGAGAGAAAGAGATGTTATTTCTAAAATGAAATGAAAGGGCCGTTCGACTTTCAAGCGCCCTTTCATTTCAATTTAGAACTCTCTTTCTCTCCTAATTTTTCTTTTAAACTAGACAAATTTCTCTCTCGAAAGTCAAATAGCCCTTTCATTTCATTTGAGAAATAACCTCTCTTTTTAGGGAGAAAATGGTGCTAAGGTAGTGACTTCAATGCTAGATGTACAATTAAAGATTATATGAAAGTTTGAGTGAAAACAGACAATTATTAATGATACAAATTGGGAAAAACTAATCTGATCGATTCCTTAATTCTCCTAACTATATTATTACAATTTAATTACATTTTAGGTGAATGTAAATCGTCATAAAGCAATGAGTTGGCTTTATATACCATTCCAGACATTTACGTGTCGAGAGATTTTTAAAAGCCTGTCTTATGTCTAATTTTCATGGAAAACTCAAAAATGGTTGGGAGAATTTACTGTTAGAAGGTGTCGCACAGACGGCACAGTGAAATGAAATTCGTTCAAATTCCGTGAAATTGGGTGATTTTTTTTCTTCAGGAAACTCTATTTAAACGAGTGAAAGCACCGGCGGCTCTGTTTTTAAAAAAATGTAACAATTCTCCTTGGATTCGCTGCAATATAGACCAAAAACAAGCCTCATTATCTCCAGTTTACAAGTGTCATTGCTGTAAAATTTAGAAGTAGCTTGTCTAACTCTTAAACAAAATTGAGTAATGCCTGAGCCGTGCCCGGCTTTCCAGCAATCTAATTGTACATTGCTCTAATCCCATGTTTCGAACCTTACAGCTATCACATCTGGTCCGTCAAAAAAACAAACATTTGAGAACAACCTATATGTGAATTAATTTGTTATTCAGCATAAAAACAGCTGACACATTTGGCCAATATTCGGATACCATACTCTTGACTACGACAGGGCCAAAGATTAATTGTCCGATATACATTTTATATGCATATTTTAGGGATTACATGTCCTGGGTTATAAATGGGGGCATTTGCTTACTGATCCTGTTTATTTCGTAGTCTATTTCTATTCTATACCAGTGATTTACACATGTTGCTGAAATTACATGATTTCCTGGTTTTTTGTTGTTGTTGTAAATTATACTTTTTTTATGATGCCCTCATTTCATTCTTATAAGTGCCCCTTTTCATTTACGATTAGTGCCCTAATTCAAATTTGAGAGATATCCCCTTTTTCTGTAATAAGTGCCCCTTTTTTTCGACACGTGCCCCTTATCCTTTCTAATTAGTGCCATTTTCCTTCTGATAATTACCCTTTATTACTTTGTGATAAGTGCCTTTTTCATCTCTGGTAAACCCCCTTTTTGCTTTGACATGTGCTCTTTTTCTTTTCTAATAAGTGTCCTTTTCCCTTTGGACACGTGCCCTTTATTCCTTTCCCCATACAATGTGCTCCTAATTTAAAGCGATTAAGAGCTTCTTTTCTACACTTTCATCCAAAGCTTGCTTGATATAATTATTGTTTTTTCCTCTTTATAAGATGTAAGTTTTTGCACACACACACAAACACACGCACACAAACACGCACACACACACACACTGCGACCTCACAAATCTCAATTTGTTTGCTTACTCGCAAATATACAGTATATTCAGACCGTCACACCAACAATCATCCCTGATAATGGAATCACAATGGTATATACCAGAGTCAACAAATTGTATATTTTAGGTTTGAGGTTTCCCTTTGTACTATGTGCCCCTTTTCCCCAGAAAGTGCTTTTTGTGTTGTTGGTGCCCCCCAAGCTCTACATGATCGTAAATACTTTAGCCCCTTCCCCCACCCACCCACTTTGAAAAACGTTCCGCGGGGTAATGAGAGTATTTTCACATTAAAAATGAATAAATCAAGAAGTGCAAATGGTGCTACAAAAGTGGTTTATTAAGATATGTTTGTTCTAATTGACAAAGAGCATTTACATATAGGTATGTGTGGTACATGAATTCGAAATAGAACTACATACATCTATTCTTAAGTCATCGCTAGAGAGGAAACGGGAGATGGGGGGGGGGGTATACGAGAGATATAGACTCATATATTATACATATAGAGAGGGTCAGACGGTGAGAAACATAGCTTTAAAAAAAAGAAATAGTGAAATAAGTGTATACCACAAATTATTTAACGTAGATTATAATAAAGAATGAGAAAAAGAGGGGGAAACCCAAGGAGAGGATGAAACAAATAAAAGATACAAATGCTACAGAGCGTGTAAAACTAGAAGTAGAAAACTAGAAAAAGATCCTATTGCCAGCACCTCCAGTAAAAACAAAAGAAGAACAGAGTCCCTCCCGGATTTATGTCCTTCCAGGAGGCTGCTATATTTGTGGATAGGTCACACTTTCGTATTTTGAAACTGAATGGGTATGACTCCTCCACAGCATCAATGAACTTATTAGGGAATCGAGGGGAAATATTATGAGGGACCGTGATAAGGTTTCTATGCTGCTCGTCCACTCTTCATGGCGGCACGGTACGCTTTGGACAAGGTATCATAGGTCATCCGATCTATGCCTTCGGGGAGTTGTCGGTAATCTCCGGAGAGAACCGCCTCCAGTAGACTTTGAGCTCCATCCATTCGACCACGCTGGTTCTGAAGGACTGAGGGCACCTCGGATCGGGAACGTGGGAAGCTGGGGAATCCTCCGGTCGAAAGCGGGCGGACTCGTCTGTTGGTCGAAGGAGCCCTGGGTCTCGGACGGACTGATCGTGGGATTTCGGTGGGCTGTTGCTCTGGAGTGGTCGAGGTATTGGTCGTGTTGCAGAACGATGGGGGTGTAAATACAGACATGCTCGAGATCCCAGCATGGAGATCAAAGAACTTGGTACTGACCGACTGGATCATGGTCTGGTGTTCGTCTTTCTCCATGAAGATCTCCGTCACAGGCCAGCAGCCATCATCAGTGAATGTACCGATCCAACTTTCCTCTACATGAACAAGATGATCAAAGACAAACGGGGAGTGTAAGGGAATAAGATGAACGAGTAGACATTACTCATTTTTTTTGTTCTGAATTACGACAAAAGAAGCCACTTCTGAGATAGCACTTGTACAAAATGACCCCCAAATATCCACAGATTTGTTAGAAACGTGGAGACGTCCCACTCTGTGCATTTTAGAAGTGAAATGCTTAATGTTTGCCCTCTTGAAAAGAATACTTCCACCCATATAGCATAAAATGCACCACCCGTGCATATATGAACAATGATTATTACCTTTAATTGAATTGAAATGGTTGATTAATTAAAAAAATCATGAGATCAATAAAATAAATTAAAATACAAAATAATATACAATTATGGCAATCATAACAAAAAGGTACTCAAAACAATGATAAAAGAACATATTCGTGAATTAATAGGTGCCCAAACTAGACATTCAGGGAGTTGGATAAAATATGATTTTATGAAATTGAAATGAAAAATATTGGTGAAGGCATTAAATAAATTTAGTGCACTTTGTAATTACAAACCTAATTGTACGTTGGGTTTAAAAGATGACTGGTATAGTTAAATGTAGCTAAAAGACTAATAAACTAGATTTGTAATACTTGTTTGGAACAAGTATAGGTGGGCTCATCCAACAAAAAATTGATTTACGTAAAATTTTACAAAATGGCGCCTAGATGACGTCATCAGTGAAGGTCAATGTTGAAAACATTATTGTGCTTCGTACATATGCCTATACATATTTGTGCCAAATTTGAAGGTATTTCATTGAGCCATTTTCAAGTAATCGTGCTTACAAAAAAGTGGTTAGAAATAAGAAAAAGATATAAATAAATAATAAATAAAGGCAATTCTAACGAAATTATAAGGTGGTCTGTACTTTATACAGCCCACCTGACTAGATTTGTAATACTTGTTTGGAACAAGTATAGGTGGGCTGATCCAACCAAAAATTGAGACAAAATAAAGGGCACATTTGAGATATCTTATTGTCTCAGCTACAACATACTCCAAGTTCAGCGTAAACGAAGCTATAACGACGTAGATATTGCTCGCGAAAGACGGGAATGTAGAATCGAGTTTTGAGAAAAAGTCATGTCCCATAGAGAATACACTCTAAATGTGAAAAATTGACATGCCTCCGTTAATCGCAAAAATACGCCATGATGCCTTTGTCAAAATGAAGAATAAAAGTAACTACATTTGTAGAAAATTGTCTCAGCTAGAACATATTAAAATTTGGAAGAAATCGATCAATATTAACAGAGATACAATCAATTTTCCATAAATATGATGACGTCATAATTTGCAAATTGGAATTTTGAGTTCGGAGGCCATTATGATGACGTCATGAGTTAATTGAGGGTCAAATGAGACATGAAAAAACATCTCCGAATCATACTCTATTAAAATATGAAAAAAAATTGGGGTCACCTTGCATCCTAAAGAGCTACAAATGATTTTGTATAGGCATGTTTTTGCCCATAATTATATGCTATGTATTACAAGAGCTCGCGCGCACGGAAATTTTTGTTAAATGGTCGATCATTCCGTTATTAATTGTCATAAAGAGACAAACATGGTATCAATTTGTTTGTAAAAATATGTGAAATATTATGAAAGAAAAAAAAATGGCGATTCTATGTTGTGTAATAGTTTTACGCGCAAAAACGCGAGCGTATGCGTGTTTGCACGATTTTTTATAAAATGCTTAGAATAACCTAAAACGTATGCAAAATGATTTTGAGACGATTTTGAGCATTTTAAAATTTTGCGCGCGCCTTGACGCGCGGACATTCGCGCCCGCGCGCGTTCTTTGACCTGAAATTGACCGGACGGATATTTACCTTGATCATGATAAATATGAATGAGAAATACCTTTTGGTTATGAAGATATGATCATGTGTTGAGTTTCCGAAAATTTTACAAAATGGTGCCTAGATGACGTCATCAGTGAAGGTCAATGTTAAAAACGTTATTGTGCTTTGTACATATGCCTATACATATGTGTGCCAAATTTCAAGGCATATGATTGAGCCATTTTCAAGTAATCGTGCTTACAAAAAAAGTGGTTCGAAATAGGAAAAATAAATAAATAAATAAAGGCAATTCTAACGAAATTATGAGGTGGTCTGTACGTTATACAGCCCACCTGAAAAAGGACTGCCGAAGAAAACACAATCCTTACTGACTGATGTAATACTATATAACTATTTTTTATCATTCTATAATTCAAAGGGGGAAGGGGTGGAGAGAAAGAGAGAGATAGCGAGAGTGTAAGAGAGAACTTACTTTGTCTTCCTGGGATTCTATCAGACCACTCTTGCACCATGAAGGCGCTTCCTGGAGCACCTATCTCGTAGTAGTCCTCCAGAGTAGAGTTTGGTGGAATTGTGTAGTTGCGCCATGTTCCTAGCTGTTCCACAGTGCATGTGTTGTAGTTGTGGTTGATGACGTACTGTATCCCTTCATCGTAAAGCATGATGTACTCGTAGATTCTTAGGTGGGAATGAAGAAAATGAAACGTTCGATTTAAATGTTGTTGGGTTTATTACTGACTACGCGTAGTTCGGAATCAAAATCACAATCAGAATCATAATCATTATCACAATAACAATCATAATCATAATCACAATCACAATCATAATCATTATTAGCCGAAGGAACAATGGAGAACTTGGATGTCTATAATAAGAATTAGTAATAAGCCGTATTGCCTTCTTCTGCAATACTTTCAACTTATCAAGATATGACTTAAAAGTGTTACCCCAAGCAACATTACAATATTTCAAATAAGGAAGAATATATAATTATATATAGTTATATAATTTTATCAGCACTCTTTCAGGTAAAATAAATTTCAATCTAAAAATGACACCTACACTTCGGGACAACTTTGTGCATACAGCATCTAAATGATTTTTCCAAGATAAATGCTCATCCATGGTTAACCCTAGGAAATGAACATTTTCACTAGGCGCAACATCATGGCCTTCAAAATTAAGAAAGGTAATGCAATCTGGAAGATGTTTACCCTTTGAGCGAAAAATAAGACATTTGGTCTTCTGAACATTCAACAATAACTTATTACAACAATACCATGCATACAGTTTCTGAATCTCTTGCTTCGCAATTAGTAATAAATCTTCAGCCTTCTTATCAGCCAACAGCAAGCTGGTATCATCAGCAAAACGTGAGTATGAGAATAATGTTGATGAGTGAATTATATCATTTATATAGATCGAAAAAAACAAGGGACCAAGAACAGAAGCCTGAGGTACACCATATTTAATAGTAGCAAGTTGGGATTTAGTACCATCCACCACAACGAATTGAGTTCTTAGATGCTTCGGCTTGCATGGTGATGTAGATATACAGTAGGCTTGCGGATGCACCATGTGATAGAGAGGGAGGATTGAGGAGTCCTGAAAAGGACTCTCGGTAATCTTTCTTGAGGGTGTGTAGTCCTGAAAAGAACTGTTGGTGTAGTCTTGAAAAAGACTGTTGGTTATCTTTCTTAGCTTATAGTTCTAAGGAGAACTATAGCCTCGGAGATGATGGATGACGGGAGTGGCTCGACGTTTCGAACAGGTTGATTATCCGTCGTCAGGAGACGGACAGTCAACCTGTTCGACCTGCTACACCACGTATTCCACAATGTATCAAACGCCTTAGATAGATCTAAGAATATCCCCAAACAATGCTTGTCTCCATCAATAGCTTTTATAACATTACTTAATAAATTAAACACACCCATTTGTGTGGAGAAGTGCTTACGAAAACCACACTGCTGAGGAATCTAGATATTCTTTTTTAGAAACTCAAGCGTTTATAAATTATTTTCTCAAGAATTTTTGAAAAGATTGGTAACAATGCTATTGGCCTATAATTAATGACGTTTTTACGGTCAGATTTGATATACACGGGTACCACTTTAGCTACCTTGGGTCTATCAGGAACAACTCCCTGAGATAAAGACATACTGTATTAATGATTTTACACAAGGGATCAATAAAAAGGTGAATCCACTCCTTTATAATTCTAGGTGAAATATAATCAGAACCACTAAATTTAGATGGTTTCAAAGACACACAATATCGATGATCTCATATTTTGAAGTTAGTTTTAGAAACATAGATGGATTATCATCACACTGTTTCATATAATCTTGAAAAGATTGTGGTACTTGGGGAATGGCTCCAATGAAATATTTATTAAATTTTTCAGCCTTTATCCTTGGCAGATGAAAGAATACACCATTAAAATCCATCTCTTGAGGAAGTGAATGCCTATTTGACCGACCTACCTAACAATTCATTGATATGAGACCAAGTTTCCCTAATATCGCCTTTAACACTGTATTAACCAAGACATTCTAATCAACATATTTCTTTTTATTCTCAGCTGTTGGTCTCTTGACTAAACTACCATCAAGCATATGTTTATGATTTATTGTTTTCAATAAACCACAAGTTACACATGGGTTTATACATTTACTTTTTATTGATACCTCAATTAATGGGGAAAATAAATTATGTAATTCCAGAAATATTTGTAGAAAATGTTCATATAAATCATTGACGCCTTTCAGTAAAGGCAGAGCCTGCCAATTAATTTCAGCTAAGTGTTGCTTGAACCCTGAGATTCTTTCATCATTTATTTTGTCCATCTCTCTTAACAGAAGTTACCACAGAGCCCTTCTTTACACAAAATATAGGCATATGATCTGAACATATTACACCCGAGCTAAACTCATTTTGAATGCAGTTTGTGAAAATAGTGTCAATTAACGGGTAAGTTTAGTGACAAGAGAAAATAATCCAAATGAGTACATAAAATCCACAAAATCTTTAACACTATGATCTTGGTATAATCTACACACCTATAATTTGTGGTGATGCTGCCCCTAGTGTTCCGTCTTCTATAGGGTAATAGGCCACATTTTTGTGGATGTTGTTGTTGTTTTGGCGTTCATTCAGTACTGAATATATACGCCATATCTTCAGTTATAAAAGAAAAAACATCGGTTATTAAAGAAAACTGAGAATAAAAAATGGTAATAATATAATTAATTTACCAGTATGGCAATTTGTTAGGAGTCTCCAGATGGTTTACAACTTCTTATTTCTGCTTTGTTAAACACATAATTTGGTCAGTCCGGTTTCCATTGCATTGACATTTTGTAGATGGTTTGTGTGCGCTCTACAGCTATAACGGTCACAACTCAGAGCTGCGACCGACTGATTTGTAGCCTGCTCGGTCGCCACTGGAATTTAGACATAGCCCAACGATTTTTGGAGAAGTTGAGCAGGCTGTAGAGCCCAAGCGATGCCTAGGCAGTGCCCTGTCGATTTATCGTCGGTCTCCGGTCGATTTTAGGTCAAAACTGGGTGAAATCGGGAAGCTTTTCGAGTGAAAAGTGAGCTGGCGCCGCCCGAATTTTAACTCCGCGCTAAAACTTCGGCGGCGACCGAGCGATGCCCTAAAAACAAGCGTTGCCTGGGCGGCCGCCGCTCGGTGACTGGGCAAAATTGTCTAAAAACTCGCCGCCCGGCCGCCGACCAGGCTACTTTTGGGGGTTGTGACCATAGATTAAAGGGCACATTTCTCAAGGGATTTTGTTTAAATTTTGAACGAAGGTGTATCTTGTGTGTGTTTGTATGTGTGTGTAATTTTTTTTTTTTTACAGACGTGTATCAATAAGATATGATTAGGGACTTTTAGATGTACACGACGAGAACGTGGACTGCCACGTGTGACATCCTTGTAAGGCAATGTTACGAACTTTTAAGGCACACTGTCGGTGCCTTAAAGGACATCACATTGCCTAAAGGATGTCACACGTGACAGTCCACGTTCTCGTCGTGTAAATCTAAAAGTCCCTTTTATTAGCGTCTGTGAACAGAGAGTATGATTGTGTCTGTGAGTCTATGACTATAATGTATGTGAGTCTATGGCTGTGTCCTTACATTTCTTTGTACCACCTCCTGCATTGGGTTGTGGTTTAAGCCCGGCCCTTGTTAACTTGTAAGAGTTAAAATGAGAGTCATTCCATACTTGAATTTGTAACAGTTACTATTTGTTTCTCTAGTCTAGTCTCTTCTCTCTATTCATTTCACATCATTTGCATATTCACTTCGTCCATTCATCTCCTCCACAGAACAGGTTTTCAAACAGGTGGTATGTTCTCTTCTCATTCTTTATCAATGAATCTTGTGTGAATGCTTTCAAATTTTCCACTTCTTACCCATCATTGGTTCTCTTCTCCTATTCCTCATGAATATTCAGTCTTACTCTCAAATCCTATTTTGCAATTGGTTGATGATGTATTTCATTTGAATATACTTTGTTTAAGAATGTACATCATGTACAGCATATTTGGGGCTTCACATGCACAGCATGCTATAATGAATACATGCAGACCTGCATTGGACATGAACTGAGTGAGTTGTATTAATTTAGGGCTCCGCTATTATTATATGTTGGAGATTTAGGAGTGAGGATTTGAGTGAATTGGCAGTGGTTTTGGATGATTGGTGTTTCGCAAGGGATTTTGTTCAAAATTTGAACTTGTGTGTTTGTGTAATTGTGTGTGTAATTACTTTTTTTTACAGACGTGTATCAATTAGATATGATTATTAGCGTCTGTGAACAGTGAGTATATATGTCTGTGAGTCTGTGTCTGTGAGTATGTGTCTTTGAGTCTGTGTCTGTGTCCTTTTTTTTTACAGACGTGTATCAATTAGATATAATTATTAGCGTCTGTGAACAGTGAGTATATATGTCTGTGAGTCTGTGTCTGTGAGTATGTGTCTTTGAGTCTGTGTCTGTGTCCTTATATTTCTTTGTACCACATCCCGCAATGGGTTGTGGTTTAAGCCCGGCTCTTATTAGTAACTGTTTCAAGTTTGGTCCCTTTAAAAACCCAATTTATAGATTGGATAAATTAAAAGAAAATGTCTAGTATTAAGTCCATGTGTCGTTTCGAATGGGTTTACAGTTTATTGCATTTCCCTGTGATTTTCATGACATAGCTAAAATGTCAGGATCATTTTTTGCAACGTTCGTGTATTTCAAATGTTTCCAGTATCCCCCCCCCCCCGCCACATCTTCTAAATATGGACAAGAAACCAAATAGATGAGACTGACCACTATTTGGGTCATTTTTCTTCTCGATAGACCTGTTACTAACCGTCGTATTTAAATCTTATGCTTTATTTGTTCAACAAATGGCCTACGTAAAGCCTATTGGCACCTCTTCCATCGTTGATGACAGCGCTACAAATTACCTGTGTGCCACTGACGTTAACTCTTAAAGGGACTGGGTAACATTGTTCAGATGAGAGATAGTGGTGCTAAGGTATTGACTTCAATGCTAGATGTACAAGTAAAGATAATCTGAAAATTTGAGGGAAAACGGATCATTATTCATGGTACAAATTGGGAAAAACTGATCTGATCGATTCCTTAATTCTCCCAAATATATTATTCTACTTCTATTCTGCTACTTGTCAAAGCCTGTTCAGCATCAAGACAAGGACAATTTAATTACATTTTAGGTGAATGTAAATCGCCACAAAGCAATAAAATGGCTCTACATTCCATTCCAGACAGTTAAGTGTTGACAGATTTTTATAGCCTGTTTTATGTATTTTTCTCATGGAAAAACGGTTGGGAAAATTCAAAAATGGTTGGGAGAATTAACTGTTAATCACTGTTAGAGGGTGCCTCACATCGACGCCTTCAAAGAAAACCATAGATATCTTTGTGGTTTGAGAATTTGTTCAGGATTTTTTGCATGTCAGAGGGTTAGTATAGTAGAAGGAATATAGTAAGTAACATTTTATACAAAAATTAAGCAATTTTTTTCATCAACCTTCAACAATGTTACCCAGTCACTTTAAGCTGCCCCCATTCAATTCACCCAGTGCCACAGTGCCAATCTCTATTGTGCCAGCCACTATTCCTCTGTGTGCCATAGGCAGTCAAGGCCTGCTAATTGAAGGCAGTCAAGGCCCCTCGGCCCAGCGGTGGCAAGAGGGGCCAGGCCAAGTTATTAAGTATATCGCTAGGGTTCAACAGTTAGAAGAACCAGTGATAAATTATTGATACTTCATAATCGGTATTGGCAACTGTCCACCAAAGCAGGTTCAATTAGCGTGTGTACTTATGCACGAAAATGTGTACGTGGCACGCGAGCGAATGAGAGTTGATGTGTGCATGGCAAGCCACCAGAAACCCATTTATGTGAGCGTGGCACGCCAGAGCATGCACAGAACAGTGTAGACTTGGCACGATAAGAGTTAATGGCATATGATCATTCTGGGGTTTTTTCCTCCGATTTCCAGACCGACTGTTACACGATGAGCCCCCCTAAAGGAACAGGATCTTCGAACATAGCCCTACCAGCAGACCCGACTGTGCCACGAAATGGAGAAGGTATGTAGGCGTGCTGCAAAGTTGGACTGGTCCCTTTTTCCCTAGAAAGGAAACAGCCCCGGCATATTATTTTTCTGCCTGTGGCGTTTTTTTTCTCAATATTTTTTATTAAATTTTGTTTTATTTCTTTTCAAAATAATTGTATTTATTTAATCATATATTTTTAGTTATTTATTACTATTATCATTATTATTATTATTATTATTACTTGTGTGTGTGTATCTCTCTACAACTGCTACTGCGACTTTGGCGGTATAGATCTTGTGTGCTAATATTTTCTGCATGGGTCCTTCATTTTTTTTAACAGTGTGGGTCCGTAAATAATCTTTATAAAGGCATATTTCTTTGATTTGCTGATCAATAGCAACATATAGTTGTTGGCCTGCCCTTTAAGCAGGTTATGCTGTATTAATAATTCACTTAGTTTTTGATAGATAACCCTATTTAGCCCGGGGGGGGGGGGGGCTACCTCGACATTTTTCGCGATAATTTTTTAACGCACGAAAATCTTGCACTGAAATTTTGTGACTTTTTTCTTGCGAGTCTTGCGCATCATTTGAAAGAAATTTTTCGAAAATCGGACCTACCATTACAAAATCACGTGTCCTTTTGTCTTTGCATGTCAGCCCGAAAATCGCTCATTTTTGTGATTTGTGTACAAAACATATGGAAATCTCATTTTTCAAATAAAGAGATAAAACATTGGTTATTTGGTCTTGTTTATAGTTAAGGTGTTTATTTTGGGGTCAAAATAATTGAATTATAGTTGGAAATGAAATTAAACAACAAAAACAATAAAATACAAAAGTTAAACAAAGAAATACATGTCTTGAGAAGTTATCAAAACAATAGATAACATAAGGAATAGCCCTGGTTTTTCACTTTTTTGTGTTGTATTATTATTCCAAATGGTCTAAAAAATATATGAAGTGAGAAAGAATGCTTAAATATGAATAATGTCTGATTTATGGGCAAAAATGTGAATTTGATGACCTTATTTGCATAAATATGCAAATGAGTGAATTTTTCAGAAAATTGAAATTACCATAGTATTCTATACACTTCACTTGACATGTATGCAAATTTTCGCGGCGATCGGTCGTTTCACGGCCGAGATCATAGGGGAGCTTTAGAAGCCCCCCCCCCCCCCCCGGGCTATGCAGTTTCAAAATAGCCCGGGCTAAATAGGGTTAAAGCCCCTCTAAATTTTTGAGATCCCCAAATTGGCCAAAAATTTGATGGCTAAAAATTTCATTTAAATTGTATCATAATGTGAAAGAGGATGTCATTTAAGACACACTTCTGCAAAGATTTGCCCCCGAAAAATGTGTTTGAAGACAAATATTGATAAAATAATACATAATTTGGGTTTTCTGTTGTACGGAGATGACCTAAATGCTGTATTCATTCATATATATTCGACTTCAAAGACATTTGTTTTAATCTCCTTGCAGAAATGTGTAATTATCATTACAGTCAGGGTTTTGAGTGAAATTTTGCGATCAATTTGTAGGGGCTCCCAACACTTTAGAGGGGCTTTAAAAAAAGAAGATGGATTGGAAGGCGGAGGATGCTTCAAGATATCTAGGATGAAACTCAGGAAAGACTGCAGTGGATTGATTGGAGGTGTCGTGGTCTTGTGGATACGTCACCGGACACTGGATCACATGGTTCGTGATTCGAATCCAGCTGCGGCACTAATGTCCTTTGGCAAGACATTAATTTACATCTGTCACACTCGACCCAGGTGGGGTAAACGGGTACCTGCTGGCATTAATTCCTTGATATGCTAGAGCGCCATAACTGGCAGCCATGCTCAAGCCGGGGTCATAATAATTGTGGAACGCCAGGAGTGTCAAGTCTGAATTACATGAGAGCTGGTTAAGGACTCACTGTTATTATTATTACTACTATTATTATTTTATTATGATGATGTTGACGATAATTACCATTACTATTGATATTATAATGTTTCTTGGGTGAAATTCATATTTTTACAGATAATGTACACGGATCGGAGGCATTGGCACGTATTTTGAACGACGTCAAGCAGAGAGGAATCAAAGTGCTCCGGGTGGAATTCACCGATGTTAATGGCATTACGCGTTGTAAGATGGTAGCAATTCACAGTCTGGAGGAATTGACTTCGAACCTGACAAGGGGCTTCCTCTTCTGTCCGACATACTTCATGAAAGATCCAGCGGGAAAAAGTTTCGAGTCGGATTTCAAGAGAAAATATTGGTACACCGATTTCAACGCCCTGCCAGCTCTGGACACCTTTAGGGTGATTCCTTGGCTTGAGGATACAGCAACGGTCACAACAACACTCTATCATCTCAATATGACAGACCTTGTGGTAGAGCAGCCGAGAAACGTGGCGGAGCAACAACTTCGACGTTTGGAAAGTCTGGGGTTTTCGCTGTTTAGCGCTTACGAATTAGAATTTCATTTAGGCGACGCGAAAGGTCGAGAGCTGGTCGCGGACGGGATAGGATACTCGTGCAGTACCGTCCTACTTATAACAGTCAAGGACTATATCAAGCAGTTGTTTGACTGTTTGCCACAGGTCGGAGTGCTCGTGAATACTATTCACTCTGAGGCCCCTGCGGGATCCCTGGAAGTTACCACAGAGCCTGCGTTTGGAATAAAGGCTGCTGATGACGCAGTCATGCTTAGGAATGCATGCAAAGAGATCGCTATTTGCAATGGGTATACTGCACAATTTCTAGCCAGCCCCAAGTGGGATGGGGATGGATATACTCTCCATTTTAACAATTCCCTTTGGGACAAGACTGGTAACGTGATGTCCAACAAGACAACCGGTGACCTGACCGATACGGCAAAACATTGGATTGCTGGTCTGCTCGCCCATGCCCGAGCGCTGACACCCCTTATGGCTCCCACCGTCAACGGAATCAAGATGTTTGGTGCTTACCAACCGCCTCATTCGACAGAACCGTCGTTCATTACTTGGGGCAGACATAACCGCTCGGTTACATTCCGCGTCAAGAATAGCGGCGGGCCAACAGGATCATACCTAGAGAACCGGCTCGGAAGAAGCGATGCAGATCCATATCTTTTGCTAGCAGGTACCATAGCTGCAGGGCTGGACGGCATCATCAACAAACTGACTCTACCTCCGGAATGCACAGGGGACGCTCACAAGGACATTCCACCCAAGACGCCAAAAATTCCATGTGATATGGAAGAAGGAGTCACTGCTTTGGTGGAAGATAAGGTCCTCTGTGAAGCTCTCGGCAAGGACTTCGTTGATCTCATTGTTGCTGCGAGGAGACATGAAATCGAACTTTACAACACAAAGAAGACAGATATTTGAGACATTTTTTGGTTTTATTACATCAGCCCCTTTTTTAAATCAAAGGAGCATTTTGGCGTTGATACGTCTTCTCGGTGTACGGTGGGGTAGACAAATCATAGAAATATCGAATTCGATCAATTCAATCCAATTCAATTCAATACAGTACAGATCAATACAATACTATACAAATCAACAAATGCAAGAATATAGAGACAGAAATAGATGGGCAGAGAAGGCCTGGAAAAAACAAAATATATACAATAATCTTAGAACATGACAGTCCAGAAAGAGGCACCATGGACACATGATGTACTGTTTTGCCTCAAAGTGGCTAAACACGTAGAAATAACATACCTAGCTTATTTCACTTTTCCAAATGTGGAAGAAAATTAATATTCTTATTGCAAAACGAAAACGGAGATGTGTACTCCAGCTAGAAATTTCAATCAAAAGGATCATTTAGGGGAGAATTTTGAAATGAGTTACAATGATAAATTATTATTGTATTGTGTTTTTTAAACATATTTTGTTATTTGAAATGAATATTGTATGTTTATCTTTTTATGTCTTTTTGTCCTGTCCATGCAAACATTAAGAGACGCTTAGTAATTATAACCTAGTGAGCGTGGAAAATGACTACCATCTCCTTAATGACATGTCAAGGATTTTCAATTAATTAAGTTCAATTCAATTCACCATGTTCACCGCCAGGCGAATCATTTGTCACAAACATCGTGCATATATCCATATTTAAGTATTGAAAAGAAAACATGTGGCGAAACGGAGTTGCAAAGGATAAATATCAAGCAACCGTAATAAAGGTCCGCTGAATTCCTGCATTTAAAACATCGTTCGAATGTTTATTATTTGTTTCTTTGTTTCTTATTTTGCATGCGAGGTAAATTGTAGTATGCAGAGGCTCCGTATCTTTAGTGGTTTCCAGAACTAGTTGTATGTTACTAAATTTGTAGTGTCGAATCTCTGATAATACTCTTGTTGTATTGATATTGTAATTAGTTTTCTTTTTAAGGATAATGGGATTTGCTTTGGAAAGATATTAATCTGCATTTGCCGCTCTCCATCCAGGTGATGTATATGAGTATCCGGTAAAGAAAACTTCCTTGAATGCCAGAGCGCATTGTCAGGGCCGCTCGGCTAATGTCTGGGTAATAAATGAGAGCTTAGAAACAATATTATTAAGCGCTATATGAATATAGCTATTAATATTATGATTATGATTATCGTTATATAAAGATTAGACTTTGGTAATTTCTCAGTCAATAGAATATTTTGTTTTCTATCATGCTAAGAATTAAAAAAACAATATATATATCCTTTCATACTTGTATAAATTATTTGCGATAATTACTTTGATTGGATTATTATCATTATGCAGATCGTGAAAAAAAAAAAAAATGAATAAAAATAAATAAACATAAAATTTGGTTAATGGTATTACAAACCACGATATTTAGTTATGAAGTAATGGAAGGAAAAAAGAAAGAAAGGGTTATAGCAAGGGGGTGACTTCAGACTGAGGAAACTGGAGAGAAAGGAGAGAGAAATGGAGAGAGAGAGAGAGAGAGAGAGAGAGGGAGAGCGGGGAGGGAAGGGACAGGGAAGAGAGGGCGGAGACATACAATGAGAGAGAGAGAGAGAGGGGGGGGGGGGATGTTACACCCACAAATGTAATAACTCCCACAAATGTAATAACGCCCACAAATGTAATAACACTTTACCCACAAATGTAACAACACCCACAAATATAATAACACTTTACCCACAAATGTAATAATTTCACCCACAAATGTAATAACCACTTTACCCACAAATGTAATAATTTTGAATCACCCACAAATGTAATAATGACTTTACCCACAAATGTAATAAATTTGAAGTGATATTTTGAATCACCCACAAATGTAATAATGACTTTACCCACAAATGTAATAAATTTGAAGTGATATTTTGTCGAATTTGTTCAAAACTAAAACCCTGTAATAAATCATGGGTATAGCTAACTACCACCTAGCTAACTACCCCGGACATCTACCCCCAGTCAACCACCCCCTCCCCGGACATCTACCTCCAGACATCTTACCACATCCAACTACCCCTCCCCCTGGACAACTAACTCCCCCTCCAACTACCCCCCCCCCCCAGACATCTACCCCCAAGCAAATTAAGGTAGTTGGGGGTACTTGCCCGGGGGTAGTTGGATGGGGGTAGATGTTCGGGTGCAGTTTTCAGGGTGGGGGTAGTTGGAAGGGGATAGTTGGATGGGGGGGGGGGGAATATCCGGGGGTATTTGACGGGGGGGGGGTAGATGTCCGGGGGGTACTTGACTTGGGGTAGATGTCCGGGGCGGTATTGTCCGGGGTAGATGTCCAGGAGTAGTTAGCTGGGGGGGGGGGGGGGGTTATCATTCTAGGGGGTAGTTAACTGGGGGTAGTTGGCAGGGGGTAGGTGTCCTAGATTCTCGATTAGAGATTTTGTCTGACATTTCTTTCGGGGGAGTCCCCTCTCTCGTGGTTGTAGCTCCATGGTAATGAGCAGTGTCAGAACACTAAAGTTACAACAAAGTTATTTCGATTAGGATAAACTTTAGTTTTTGCTGTGTTTAGAAGATCTTCATTGAAAAAGATCGCACAACCCAAAACAAACTAACAATTATGCATTAAACGGGTTAATCCTCACGTAGTATATTACAGACCAATCATGTGTGATTCTTTGTCTACATTATAAGTGTATAAACCGTTGTAAAGAAAATTTATGTGTCATATGAGTGAACTATATATCATAAAATATGTTATCTCAGTTTTAAAGTAAATATCTGGAAACTACATGCCTCTATTGCTTTTTAAAATCACTAACATATTCATGTATTTATAATCCTTATACATGAAAGAAAGGCCAAAGAATTCACTCTCAGACGCTTTGCATTGGAGTTTGGTTATTTTATTTTGAAGGCTACAAAACAGCCCCGCCCACACTATATAAAAAAAGGCTTGACTTCAATGTACGCCCTTGTACATGCATGCAATACAGTCGTTGTGGTCATGTAACTCAATTGCCCACTATGCACGTGCACCACTTGTGATTTCTCTGCAGTAATGTCTTCTCCAGTAATCTCAAAGCTGTCACCTCCTGCAACCGAACCCAAGCCCAGGTCATTGTCCCAGGTCATCCCAGGTCATTGCAAGAGAGGCATGAGTGCACACTGAACAATAGCCTGCATCAAACCCAGGTCCAGCCACAGGAGGCAACAAATCTCACAATACTACAGTACATACAAGTGTATGGTTTGTTTTGCATTTATGTCTTTAATCAGATTTCTGTTTAAGGTTGAAAATGGCTCAAAAGTGGCAAACGCCAAACTCTTCAACAGAGATCACGTAAAGGTTGTTAATATTCTTTATCTCATTGTATAATTAAAATAATTATTTCCTTTTGATCAGTCATACTTCATTTCAACTCCGTCTACTCTTAAAGCATCTGAAAAGTATTACTGACAAACTTTTGGAGTTGTACGTGTTAAGTAGTTTTATATGGACGAATACTAAGTTACAGAAAGCCAGGTATTTTAGTATTTCGGCATCTTGTTCTCTTGTTTTTCCTAGCTTTGAAGAATTGTCACGTGTTAGGTTGTTTGCGTTTTATATCAAGTTCAGTTGATGTTATCAGGTTCAATATTGCCCAAATTATAACCTTGTTTGCTTGTAAAAGACATATGAGTTACTCCACCTTTTTATACGTAATACTTATTTTGGTTCTGTTACCGTCTGTATATTAATGAAACAACCTCTTCATTCGTTTGGAATAAAATACTTTCTATTTTACAAAATCTATATATCCATCATTGCATTTAATACTATAAAACCATAACCTCTGCAATTTACTCACATTGATTGAGAGAGTATATAGATATTTTACCAGTCAAAGGGTTCTGCAATCGTTCATTCAAAACATGCAAATATGTTTCGCGCGATCTCGTTATACAGCTATTTATGATTTGTTATATGAAAGTATGCGTTGTTATTTGCTTGTTAACCGATTATCATTTCAGACTTGTTCTTGTTTATATAGCTGCTTGAGTGTTTCAGAAGTAGGGAAAACTGTAATATAAATGTGTTTTGTTTGTATTTGCCTTTGAATAAATTTCGTTCTCATGAATTTACACCGTGTACCGCGTACCAATTGGTAGTATTCAGTATAAGTAATTGATACGTTCATCACATGAAGAAAGGTAATTCATTCACGCACTCATGAAAATATAACATCGCAATCCAACGTTTTAATGTCACTAATAGCGTACATATATATATATATATATATATATAAATATATATTACATATCGTGAACATGTTTCATAATCACATGCATAAAACAATCAGCGTCAATATTTAAATACATTTAAGGTCACTTATTCAATTACTTTTTTTTTCTACGAACATTGAATTTCAGGATATTTGTGGGCGTTAAAATATTTACATGATTAAGAAATCGTCAACGGTCAACGAACCATCGAATCGGTCCCTCCTCTGTGTGTTATATATATGGACCATTTTTACTGATTCGTCAGTTCGTGTGACCGCCGACCAATCATTTATTTGTGACGTGTTGTATCCACATGTGTAATAATGTAATTTATTTTTAAATGAAAAAAAAAGAGGAATAAGATGGTGGGTCTTAGTTTCGAAGATTTGTTTAAATTTCTATTTCCTTTGAAATAACCGGGACTGGAGGAAAGACTACGCTCTATACCCATGTTATTCCACAGGAATGAGATGGTGAGGTCTTAGTTTGAAGATTTTTTTTTTTAAATAACCGAGTCTGAAGTAAAGACTATGTTCTAATCCCATGCTTTATTACCGGGTCTTAATTTGGAAGATGGAGGGGTCTTAGTTTAAAACTTTTTGTTGTTGTTTTTTGTTTTTTTGTTTTTTTGTTTGTTTTTTAACTTTTGAAAAACAGGGTCTGGAGGAAAGACTACGCTCAATACTTATGTTCAACGTACCGAACCGGGCTGGCCAGAAAATACGCACAAAACGGTTAAATGATTTTATGTTGACAGCCTGTCTGGAATCTCCGCAGAATGCGAAAAATTGAACAGCGTCAATTTTTTTTTTCCCTCCCCTTTTGTTTTTTCGTTTCTATTTAAAATTATTAAAAAACTTGAATTCGGCGTAAATATTCACAATTGAATGACACACGCCCTTAAAACTAAAACAACAACAACAACAACGTTCTTCCACAGGAATAAGATGATGGGGTCTTAGTTTTGAAGATTTTTAAAAAGTTTTGAAATAACCGGGTCTTAGTTTGGAAGATGGTGGGGTCTTAGTTTTGAAGATTTTTTAATTTTTTTGAAATAACCGGGTCTAGAGCAAAGACTGCGCGCTATACCCATGCTTTATTACAGGGTTTTAGTATTAAATTCGACAAAATATCCCTTCAAATTTATTACATTTGTGGGTAAAGTCATTATTACATTTGTGGGTGATTCAAAATATCACTTCAAATTTATTACATTTGTGGGTAAAGTGGTTATTACATTTGTGGGTGAAATTATTACATTTGTGGGTAAAGTGTTATTACATTTGTGGATGTTGTTACATTTGTGGGTAAAGTGTTATTACATTTGTGGGCGTTATTACATTTGTGGGAGTTATTACATTTGTTGGTGTAACAGGGGACCGGGGGAGTGTAAATATGTTGGTGTACGCGCGTGTCTGTCTGTACGTGTGTGCCAGAGAGAGAAAGAAAGCGAATCAGGGAGGAAGAATGAAAAAGAGGAGGGGGGCATTTATGAAATAGGAGAATAATTACACCATGAAACGATCTTCTCCCACCAGCAAAAGCACCCCTCCCCCAAAAAAAATATTTAAAAAAAAGAAGAAAAAAAAGAAGATATTATAAGAGTAGACTATTTTTTACTTGGCTCGTTCCACCTTACTTTCACCATGGACCTATTACGAATGGACATTCAACGTGATTCTTTCTTTGATCCAATGATAGTAGCCGCCTTCTGATTATGTGCATCTTAATGAGAACATTCAGCTGTTTTAACAATAACGACTGCGTAAGAATTTTCGGTCATTGACAAACGAGCAGTTTCCCTCCCTTGGGTTTTGTTTGGATGGTGTGCTCTGTAAGAGTGTGTCTTAAATAAAAGCATCCTCAATGGGGAGCGACCCTCTTCTAATATTATGAATACCGACCCTCTTCTTTGATTATGAATAGCGGTCATTATTCATAATCGATGAAGAGGGTCGCTATTCATAATACGAAACGAGGGTCGCTATTCATTATACGAAATGAGGGTCGCTATTCATAATAGGGTCACTATTCATAATACGAAATGAGGTTCGCTATTCATAATAGGAGTAGAGGTTTGCTAGTCATAATACGAATTGAGGGTCGCTATTCATAATACGAAATGAAGGTCGCTATTCATAATAGGAATAGAGGGTCGCTATTCATAATAGGAGCAGAGATTCGCTATTCATAATAGGAGTAGAGGGTCGCTATTCATAATAGGGTCACTATTCATAACACGAAATGAGGTTTGCTATTCATAATACGAGAAGAGGTTCGCTATTCATAATATGAAATGAGGGTCGCTATCCATAATAGGAGTAGAGGGTCGCTATTCACAATACGAGCAGAGGTTTGCTATTCATAATATGAAATGAAGGTCGCTATTCATTACCCGGGTAAGAGGTCTTTTTTTTTTTGGTCCCGAAATTTGAAAATTTGACCGATCGACATTCCGTTCCGTTAGTCATCCATTGGGGGTTTTTTTATTTTTTATTTTTTATTTTTTTTATTAAAAAAAAGAAAAGAAAATCAAAATCAAAAGGATGGGGGAGGGGGGTTCAACCCCAAAACCTCCCCCCCCCCCCCCCTGCGTACGCGTCTGGTACCGTGTCATAAGTAACTGAGATGTCTGTTAAACATAATAATGTCAAGAAAGGCGCTGAATGTTTAGGTTTATAATATCTGAAATAAGACTCATTCTGCACAGTCATACAAATTGCGACCAGCATGTAAATATATCTTTAAAAGACCCCCAAGCATTACACTCGTAATGAGGTTATTGAGTCAATCACTTCTCAATTTTACCCCTAGAATAAAGTTAGCGTGTCTTTCAGAGGATTTATGTCCTTCAACGTGAGCCGCGTTTAAGCCCTCGCATTTTATTTTGACACGGGAAAATGCCCAAGCCATGCAATGTCCAAGCTGGTCCATCGAAACGATTTCTAAAGGTAGGTTCTGAAAATATTTAATTTTCTGTTTTTGCTTATGAGGGCGCGAATGGGGGCCTGCATCTGCCCATTTAAGGTTCTCAAATAGTCTACCTCATTGCAACTGATCTGCGAGTGACCTCTGCGAATGACTTTCAAAGCCCATGAAACCAGGTCCATCCCCATTTAGATGACATGATGCGGGCAGTATTCGTAATCGTAATGCTCTCCTAGAATTGGACTATTAAAAAGAAACCCTACTTCGCACTGAACCAAGTTCTTCGCTTGCTTGTTTGCTTGAAGATTGATTAATTTTATTCTTCAAGTATAAGTACATGGAATTCAGTAGAGAAAGAAGAATGTATACATTTAGAATAAGCCATGAAAGCTGATAAATAGCTTATTTCCAATGGTGTTTTGAAATAATTCCTTCAGCGTACTTTGTATGTCGCAAAAGTTGTGGCAGTCTTTTTGCGCTGATTGTTCCCCGCCCACACTCACTCAACACAACGCAACATACACCCACACACCCACTCACATCCTCAAATGGTGAATGATGACTATACGTCATTCTTGATTGACTTGTAATTATCTCCAAGTGGAACCTCATATCATTCCACCAGGTTCCTTTGACCTTTTTTCCTGTTGATATTTTTTTATCAATTGATTATGCATTATCCAAACTGCATTAGTGGACAAAGGAATCCCACAATGTTGATTACAGGTCAGACCAGCAGCTCAAAGTCATTGTATTTTTGCGAGGTCAGTGGCGGAATTAAGGAGAATACTTGCTCCTACCCCCTCCCCTCCCACCTTAACCAAACCGATATACCTTACACAGTGGCGGATCCAGGGGGGGGGGGGGCCGGGGGCCCGCCCCCCCCCCCCCCCCGGGCAAAAAAAAAGGGTCTCGGCCCTCTGGACCTCAAGCCAACTAGTGTCCTGCCAGTGTCACAAATAAGGTATCAAAATATGTTTATCTGACCTTAAAACCCCTCGGTTTCTGGGGCTCCACCCCCTGCATGCTTGTCTGACCGTTATAAAACGCCTAAAACCCGTGAGCTTCTGGACTCCACGCCAGTTAATGACCTGCCAGTGTCACACAATAATGATGCTCATCTGACGTAATTAAATTTCTAAAGCCCTGAGCTACCGGGGCTTCGCCACCGAACCCAACTAATGGCCCTAAGGCGGGTCCCTGGATGCTCATCTGACCGTAATTTATTGCCTAATACCCCTGAGCCTCCGGGGGCACCGCCTCCTGGACCCCACGCCAATTCGTGACCTGCAAGTGTCACAAATAACGTATCAAAATATACTCATCTGAACGTAATTTATTTCCCAAAACCCCTGAGCTTCCGGGGGCTCCACAACCTGGACCCCACGCCAATTTGTAACCTGCCAGTGTCACAAATAAGGTATAAAATTATGCTCATCTGACTATAATATGGTGTATAAAACCCGTGAGCTTCTGAGTGCCCCGCCCCCTGGACCTGACACCTATTTGTGTCCTGCCAGTGTCACAAATAAGGTATAAAAATATGCTCATCTGACCGTAATTTATTGCCCAAAATCCCTAAAATTCCGGGGGCTACGCCCGCTGGACCACACACTAATTTGTGTCCTGCCAGTGTCAAGAAAAAGGTATCAAAAAATGATCATATGACAGTGATTAGATGCCTATACCCCCTGAGCTTCTGGGGGCCCCACCCCTTGATCCCCGCCGAGAAACGTTAAGCAGGGCCTGCATGTAAGAGTGGGGTGATGGGGATTTTTTTTTGTCTACCCCCCCCCCCCCACTGCCAGTGTCACCATTACGTACCAATATTTGGCTCGCATAATTTCAAATTTGGCCCCCCCCCCCCCAAGAAATTCTGGATCCGCGCCTGACCTTACACAATAGGGACTTTTAGATTTGCGTGGACTGATACGTGTGACGTCCATTAAAGGCAGTGCATTAAAAGCACATCGATCGTAGCAATCCACGATGTCGTTGTGCAAATCTAAAGGTCCCTATTACCTCCCTTACACAATCCTAGATCTGCCCTAAAGGTTTAACACTTGTAAGGAGAAAGGTATATTTTTATTGTTAAAAGAGGAATACTAATTCCGCCCTCTTGACGAATTTCTGTAGTCACAAGAAGATTAACCAAATTGAGTAAACCAATCGCCCTGTTGGTCGTTTGTCAGTGGCGTCATAATAATTAAAATAAGAAAGAAAAGATTGTAAACAGTTGTGTGTTGGTTTAACAGCCGCTCATTCGTTGGCAAGTAAGTTCTCAATTTGTTTTCTCCTGGGTTTGGGTGCTATCGTAATGAAACGGACAAGACAAACCAGTTTACTAAGCCATCATAAAGCATATATTTCTCATTATAGTTGTTTACATAAAGGTGCTCACCTCTTTCCAGGGAGTTGTGCGTGTTTATCTTCCATGATCCTTTTTCGTCGATGAATCCCATCGAAGGTGATGTTGAAACGGTTGTTGACGCCCTGGATGTGATCCCACTCGCTGGCTCTGCCCTCCCATTGCTCCGCTGTTTGACACGGGGTGGCGCCCACGGCTGGTGGGGATGCATGCCTTGGTGCGGAGAGGTTGTCGATTGGTTCGTAAGCGTATCGGTCACTGTCCCTATTTATCGGGATTCCTTCGACATCGGGGTTACTTACGCGTACGTGAACCGGCAGACGACGGAGCTCCGGAGTTGAATGATGACCACGAATTTTGTCTCCAAGGAGACCGACCCGAGCTCTTCCGAGCGCCTTCCCAACATCGGGCCGTCCAAAGGCGACGGCGAAAGACCCGAGGAGGATAACGACAACGAACTCCCTTATCAGCGACATTATTACAAACGTTATTGTCGCTATCTGGAAAGCAAGTGATACAATTTTGGGAAATTTTTACCGCGATTAACAATAGGCGGAAACGATGTGCTGACATAGGTCAGTCGCAAGGTTATCATATCATGATTGTACAGGAAAAACAAAATCCAGGGCATTTGGGGATGCTGGGAATAGAGTATTATATGGATATGATATGAGTGGGGTGGTGGTGGTTGAGTGGGGTTCCGTCTGTAAAGCAAGCCAAATATCCGGTACAGAAGACTAAGCCAACCTTGTGTGAGTTGTGTCCAATTATTTCTCACGTTGATTAACTACAAGAATATATAAACGGTTTTTTTTAGTACTGGTATTGTTGTGACCAACTACATTTTATAGAAGGATAAATCACTTAGCAAAAAAGAAAAAGCGGACACTCTTTACTGTTCAATATTTTCATATAAACCATCAATAAAATATGATCAAAAAAATATATCAAATCAAAGGGAAGTGAATACTCTTCCAACATCAATTAAGATCAAGTTTTGAGCTTTAACACTTGGATGGGCACATTCATTTATATTAACCGTTAGAATGTCTGCTTAAGAAACTTGCAAAAATAGAGCAAGTAGCCTTTCACATGTTAATGATCATGCGCATCTGTAAGATATTCTTGTTCAAAAATGAAAACAACGAATGAGAAATGATGAGGAGGATGTCAACTGGGGTCTCAAGACTGTATGGTTTTGACAAGCATGTCAAGATGAGTTTCCTTTCGTGTTTCTCTTGATTGTTTTTCATTGTCTTAATAGAATCTACAAGATGGAAATACTCATCAACATTTTGAATGGCCAGATGCCCCATTTATTGCAATTTTCTTTCAGAGACTCATTTATTGTTAAATAGCTATCCTCACTCATGCATGGATGGTATGATTCCAATTATGTTTATGCAGTGTATATTGGCCTAAATATTTATCATTACGTAGCGAAACTGACATCAGAATATTACAAAAGAACGAAATTGAAACAAGTACATGTGTTTATCTATATAGTCACATAGTGGGGCCGTTGACCCCCCCCCCCCTAACCCGGTGTGGAAATGGGGGAAGTAATCAATTAAACTTAAGCAATGGATCTATTGTGTATGGGGCTGCCCAGATGCATTTCGAATCCTCCCCTTGTTTTCAATATTATGGTTAACTCAATCATAATATTTATATTGCCAGAATATGATCTGATTATAAAGACCGTTAGAGGGGGGGGGGGGGGAAGGGGGCGGTGAAACTATAAAACATTCATCCGGTGAGAAGAAGTTGACTACAGCCTCCGAGAGTGATAGTAATAACATGTCCCTCCCCACCCCCAGTTCACCAATCTCCCGTAACTCAAAATGTGACACTACGCCCTTAGATTTAATTCCCAGGTAAATCACTCTCTTCCTATTGCAGCTCTCACGCCTCTTGACTTCTTCCGATAGAAACCTGTCAAAACAATCACTTATGTTTACTAATTGTTCTCTAACATTCCCATCATTAACGTTTTCTGTCTGTCATGTAGGGGCGGTGCCATGATTATCATGAAGGGGGGGGGGCGGGTTTTTTCCCCATTGGAACATATATGGTAAATTCAGCCAGTTCTCCCAGACTTGCCCACTTTGATAATTCACAGGTTTGATTCCAGACGCGGTTCCAGAATAATAATTTTGGAGGGGCTTTGGGTTGTTATGCATTCAATTTCTACATGTGCCTCGCTTACATTTGTTTTAAATTCATTTATAATCACAATTTTTTTCGGGGGAGGGGGCTTGAGCCACTAAGCCCCCCCCCCCCCTAGAACCGCTAATTGTTTATACCTCTACGCTATGATCATGTTATGAAATGGGCTTTGTTCGGTGTATCTATAACAGTTCATCATGTTTTTTATATGACATTTTGATTGCGACGTTGAATCTCATGAGCCGCGATTTCCTGTGAGTCATAACAAAAGAGGGAGCACAAAGGGCTGCTCCCGCCTAAGGAGAAAAAAAATAGGTAGAGGGGGTTCTTAGGAAAAGAAGACGACCAAAGAAAGAGAAGGATACAGAAGAATAAATTGTTTTACATCCTACCTACCCCCCCCCCCCCCCCTCTCCTCCCGAAGGGAAATTACGGAAGCTGCAGGCTTCCTGAAAAGTGAAATACATTTCTAGAGGGGGGGGGGGGGGGGGGGGGGCAATCCCTACCGAGTGAATCCAGCAGGAATGGATGGTTTACCAAATGTTCCGGGTTTTTTAAATTACAATCATAAATCCGCCTATGCTAATCATGCAAAAAGTAAGCCGCGTGATTGGCTTTGATCCCAACGTGATTCCGTTTTAACAGGAAAGAGAAATCGATTAAAATGGCAATTCTGCCCTGAAAAAAGAGGGCGGACTTGCAATTGAATGCAAACACGCTTCGTAATCTAGACTGACATTGAGAGAAAGTGTGTGGGTATGTGTATGCGTTTTGTGTTTGAGAGAAAGAGAGAGAGAAAGAAATGGAGAGAGAGCAAGAGAGAGAAAGGGAGGGGGAGAGAGCGAGATAGAGAAAGAGAGAGAGAGAGAGAGAGAGAGAGAAAAGGGAAAGGGGAGATAGGAAAATATACAAACAGAAAGGGGTGTGATACATACTGTTTGAGAGAGGAAAGGAGAAATGGTTTAATATCTCGTTCACACCGTCAACCCGACCTAGATTCATTTCAATTCATTTTCAAAAATTCAATTTCGGTTTTATTGTAGAAAAAAGAACATGAAAAAAGGCAAGAGACTTAAATTATCAAAAAGATGAGAAAACATGAAATAAGGATATAAAATGTACATTGACACATAGTAGTTCAATAATAACGAAAATGAGAACGTGACTTCTTGAAAGAAATAACCACAAAACAGATCCCATACCGACCTATTCTTTGACATTCAGGATAATGTGATGTTTAGTCCGGTCTATTGTCGGTCTCGTGTCGGTCTCGTGTCGGTCTCGTGTCAGTCTCGTGCCGGTCTCGTGTCGGTCTCGTCGGTGTGACTCGGGTATAAAGGAGTTAGAGAGGAAAAGAGAGGAATGCAAAGAGAAGGGGCAGAGACAGAGACAGAGATAGAGCACCGATGAAAGGGATGCCAGAGGGTGAGCCCATCTGAACGCATCTCTGGTCTCTATGTAATCATTATTAACAATCGATTTTCATACTCTCCGCATCATTTTGGTAGAACAGAATTTTAACAAGTCAAGCAGCAGCGTCCGGTGGTTTTAATGATTCCCTCTTTCGCCTCTCGAGACGTCTTTTGTGGAATTTAATGCCGTATGGACAGCAAAAGAAAAAAGCAATCGTCCTGACCAAATCATGGGAAGTGTTATACATCCCGCATCGATGTAACCTCTTTTGATCACGACTTGGAACTTCTCATCACTAACGTGGAAATATAGAGTAGCTTGAGAAAGAAAATCCTTCCCTCGAAAAGTATTTGGAATAAGAGATTTCCGCAACAATACCGAAACCAATTTGGCCTTCACGCTTCGAATTCCTGTGCATCATTACGTCCACCCATGTTTGAAAGGTCAGTATGAAATTCTTTCACTTTTCAAAACTTGACTCTTTTGTCAAAGATTTGGATTAAATGTTTTGTAACGGCAAACAAACATTTTAAAAATAACATTGTGGCAGTTTGTGATGATTTAAACCACAATACTCTATTAGGATCATTTATGTGGAGAAACAATACTTGTAATCAAATACTGTCTACACATAATAGTTATGTTGATGTTCCTTGTACGAATTCCAGAAATTCTCTTTTTGGTATTCTGTGTTTTCTCCACGCGTGGGGATAGGGCACCAATCACTTTTTTTACCAGATTTTTGTTCTATGGTTATATCATGTTTTCTCCGATCTATTATATGTAAAAGTTATCAAATAAAATTCCTGTGATCTGTTTGAAATTGTGATTACCAATTTACATAGATGACATTCATAGTCATGGACTGTATATCTTATTTTGCCATTACCGTTTCCTCCATAACAATCTGCCTCCAAATTGATGAGGCTACAACCCGCGAGACTATTGTATCGGTCTCTTGGACTTCTGAGTCTTCGCGAGGCCGACATTGTAGTTCTGGTGAGAGGTCGATTGGTCAATCTACTGCGATGTCTCCAATGTATGCACCCTTCCTTGATATTATCTTGCATCTTACATCTTGCATCAAAATGTATACGTTGTTACCAAAATCAAAAGATGTTCTTAGATGAATCAAATCTCTCCATTACCCCCACAATTCCTATCACTTCACCTTTTCATTTTAGATTTAACATTTTAATGAAGATAATTTATTTCAAAATATGTTTACTCATCCTTTTTGGATAACCGCTTTTTAGAACTTCATATATGACTTCAAGCAAACATTATTTTGAGTGATCGAGTAGAAACGCCAACATCTTCAAATTTCCTTCTCTGCTAGGAACTAATTTATCATCTTTTAGTATTATTTGCTGTACCCTCGATCTCTCACTTCTTTTTTTTCATTGTCTACTCTTTGTATTATGACCGTGTTCTTCTATCTTTGTCGTGTAAAGTATTGTCTTGTCCCTTTCTCGTCTCTGTTGGCATTCCCCTTTTATTTCCCCTATTTTATAGTTCCTTTTGTAGTTACATATTAGATAATTTAATTACTCATTATTCCTAAGTTTCATTTGAGGTGTCCACACTTGTACAAGCATTGCTTTTTAGTGGACCCCTCTGTTTCCAACATGTATTTCTTAAATTTGTTTTAAATGCTTATAATTGATTTGTAATGTTTTGTTGGAAACATGAATAAATTTGAATTTGAATTTGAATTTGAATTTAATAATTAAAACTTGGGAATAGGTAAATAGGCTCATTAGATTGTAGCGACGAGGGTTAAATGATCGGTATATGATAATTGTATAGGTATAAAATATAACTATTAAAGGTGAAGTTCATTAACTTTTATCGATCGTCAAAATCGCTGTTCTTAGAATCTATTCAAGGCCAATTTCAATACCCCATCATTGATATCTTATATAAATCATGCTCACATTTAATACGTAATACGTCATGTGA